ACTCAATTCTCCCTAAAATCTAAAATTCTTATTTCTCAATCACTTCCTCTCTATTAATCCCTATTATGTCTCTTCAATATTTATCTATTTTATATTCATATAATAATATAAATATATATTACTCATATATTAAAATAAATTAATATAACTATGATTTACAAAATAAAAAGGACTATATTATATACTCATATAATATTAAATTTTTAGTCATACATTCATATAGTATATTGTTATAAATTAATATTATAATTTCGAAATTCAATATATAATTAATATTTTAAATATTTAATATAGTCCTTTTTTATCAAAATAAAAATATATTAAAATATCGAAAGAATCCGATAGAAGGTCTGTGGATATGGGCGTTGTGAATCGAAGTTCGAGGAAAGGCAAAGCTAAAGCCACCTCCGACGGTTCGAGCTCACGTGGTTCTCAAGGAAGACACTCCGTCTCTTCCTTCCCTACTATCCTTGATCAATTCGTGGCCGATGCTATAACGGATCAAGAATTCGAATAGTATTTGGAAGGTAGGATGGACGCCAATCTTCAAACTCGATATATTCGAGGGCATTGATGAAGTAGAAATGGACGTGGAGCCTACATCGGAGAACAACAATCTTACCGACACCAACGAGGCAGGTGAGCCCGAAACATCTAAAGGTTTAGGGAAAGGTAAAAAAAATTAAAATCTGATTTATTTGTTTATCATTTTTCAAAAGAAACAAAAAATGTCAAAGTTTTTGGAACTTGTAAATATTGTGGCACCGTCATAAAAATGGGAATTTCCGGCGGTTATGGTGGTCCGAAAAAACACCTAAGGGCGAGGCACCCTGTGGAGTACGCCAAATACGCGGCAAAAAAGAAGAAACAACAAGAAGTGCAAATCCAAATTTCTCGGTTTGCTAATAGGGGTAAGAGCGACATTTTTGCTTCCAGCAACGAGCAAAATAAGCAAAGTTTTCACATGCTCTTTCCCCATTGAAAAAATCATCCTTCATTCTAGTGAAAAGTTCTCCACCATTCACATCCTCCACACTATCGTCCCAGTAAAAAATCCATGTTTCCATATTGTTAGTAATATTGGGAGAGCCAAAACTTGAGGCCCTCTTGCAAATTGAAAAACTGGCTGTGAATTTCCCACACCAATCGTTTTATTGCCAAAATCTTGATGGGTTACAGCCAAACTATCCTTGAGGAAGCAATCCAAAGTCTTGTGTAGTGGCCTGTGATAGGTTGCCCAATTATTAGGAATCAATGTAGCTCAGTCCGACAAGGCCAAGATCTTTCTCTTCATTAACAGATCTGCTGCAGCTTGATGCGCTCATTTCCCTCAACTTAGGCAGAGAGTCTTCTCCTAACACAACATCTGGCCCTTCACTCTATCTTCCATGTTCTAAACTTCCTTCTCAAAAATGGAGGAAACTGCTTTCTAAGCAGATTCTCCAAAAGATTGCCGCAACATTTTGGAATCGCAAAACTTGCTATCTGATCGATGTCTATGAGCAGTGCAAGTATCCAGTCCAGACGCTCTCACTGATGATGTAGGAATCTCTTTATGGAGAACATAACAAAAAACAAGCCAAGAGCAGTTAGTAAAATTTAAGCTGAGTTATCAAATAAAGAGCAGCAGACTCAACATGCAATAAACTCCAAGAAGAAGTCCTAAAAATCTACTCCCTCCGTCCCAAAAAGATTTACACGTTTCAAAAAAATTGTGTCCCACAATCCCTTACCCATTTCTATTAAAAAACCACTTTTACTCCTTACTTTTTCAAACCCTACCTATCACATCATACTTTTTTCCTAATAATCTACACATCACATCATACTTTTACCATCACATCAAGGGTATTTTTGGAAAGTCAACACAAAATTATCCATCCCTTAATTTCAACTTTAGTCAAAATGGGTAACACTTTATGGGACGGAGGGAGTACTAGTTTAGATATTGACACAAGAATGAGTGATGTATTCCTGCAAATGCTAGTACAAGTAAGAGATTTATATCACATTGCATGGTCAAATAGTTTGTTTAAACAGCAAAACCTTGAAAGGGGAAGGACAACACAAGTTCATACTATTTTCAAATAGTTGCTGAACTGCATTTCATTCTAAACATACTCTAAACGGAAGTGCATTTTGTTCTTGAGCCAAATTACAGATGCATTCTGTAACTGATTCATCATCGATTTAATCATTTAATCATTTTCTGCATCCAAAACTTTCATTTTGCATGTTTCCTCACAACCACTTTTAGGGATAACTCGAGTGGCGAACTCGTTCAGTAATTGGGTCTTCAATTTTTCCCTGGCTATCAATTACGAAGGTTTATGCACCAAAGTTCACAATTCGGGGGGGGGGGGGGTCAAAATCATTATTGTAGGCCACAGATTAGTCCAGAAAAAGGCACATCTACAATTAAGCATCAATAGACTAGTGATAATCAACACACAGAAATTGCAACACAAAGACTCATTTGCCAAAGAACAATTAGCACGCGAAAGGCGATTCAATGAATACTTCTCGACTTACCGACATTAGAACGCGATGAAGAGGGTGGGTGGGGGGGATATTTTATAAACAATCCTTTTTTTGGAAACTATTCCACAAGTAGTCTTTAAGACCTGGCAAATCGGTCGGTGAGGTCGGGTTCGGGTTCGGTCACCATGGGTTCGGGTTACTTCGGGTTCGGATATGTTCGGGTTAGGGTTGATAACTACATGTTCATGACCCAGTGTCATCGGGTTCGGGTTGACCCAACGGGTTATGAGTTTCATTTATTTTTTGAAATTTTAAGTAATTTTTATGATTTAGTGTCAACATTACGAATAAAAAAATTATAAATGTAGAAATTTTGAAAAAATGTACGATAATTATGCGACATCATTAAAATTTGTTATGATGGTATAAATCTATACACAAAAAATGAGTAGTAAGCAAAGAAATATAATTATAATCTTATTTTTATAACACTATATTTCATATTAAAATGTACGATTCTGAAAAAATCTTAGATTAGCGGGTCGGTCAGGTCGGGTTCAGGTTCGGTCGGGTTTGACCCATTTTAGCGGGTCATTTCGGGTTCGGTCAACTTCGGGTTCGGTCAACAAAACCTTTGTTCAAAACCCAGTATTTTCGGGTCGGGTCTCGGGTCAAAAACAGGTCGGGTCATTTTTTGCCAGGTCTAAGTCTTGTCTTTTTCACCAAATATGACAAAATATTTTGAGTAAGTTCTCAAAAGGTCCTTTCTAATAAGGTTTTTTCCCAAAACAAAGTAAAACTAACATGGTCCTTTATAATTCAGATGTGTTTCCTTAATAGTCTTTTATCAAAAACGCATATTAAATGACAATAAAATAGAGAATATTTTGATAATCTTTACGGAGTATTATCTAAACTATGAATAAGTCCTCAAAATCAAATTTGTATGTTCCAAACATGCCATTACATAATTTCAAAATATGTTTATTATTTAGTGATATCAACACTCATTTTCTTTTGCTTTCAAACTAAACACCAATATTATGTTTGGTTTGAGAGATTAGAAATGGAAGTAAAAGAAAGATAATGTCTTTGAGAACTTCTATCCAAGACAAACAGGGAAATATGGTGTTTGGTAACACAAACATTTGCTTATGCGTTTGTAGAATTTTTATAAAGGGCCTACTGAATTTTTGGCAATGGATTAAAAAAGCCTTCTTCTCCATCCCCAACTCAAAAGCCCCAGGTCCAGATGGTTTCTCAAGTGGCTTTTATGAACTTGCTAGGGGAAGTAAAAGAAAGAATATATCTTTAAGATGCATGTTCACACTGGACATTAGGAAAACGTATGATTCAGTTGGTTGAAAGTTCTTAAAATGTCTTTTGAGGAGCTTCAGATTTCCTAATTTGTTTACCGTGTGGATCATGAATGGAAGAGTCAAGACAGTTTTATATTCTATCCTCCTAAATGTTTAAGTCATGAAACTCTTGAAGGGAGCTAGCAGTATCATACACAGTGATCCAATGTCACCTTGTCTTTTTTCTGGTAAAACCAAGAAATGAACTTGATCACAAACTTACAAAGAAGATCACCTTTTTGTACTTCTCATTGCAGTTATGGAGAAGATCCAGTCTGCTCCTAAGAACTTTCTGATTTTTTGAAGATTTGATCTAGTCTGATCTTATTACAATTAAAACTGTTTATGATCTGATCTGGTCTGATCTGACCCGATTATAATACGAATAAATAATTAGCACAAAAAATAAGTTGAACGGAACGCTGCCTAAAGCCAGGAACAAAGCATGTTTTGGGAAGGGCAAAGAGGACATCTCCTTCATTGTAGATAGTGTGAAACACCATCTGATAATTGAAAATGCATGATTTGAAGTTTTTTGAATAACATAATGAAGTAATGGAATTGAAATGGACGTACATTTATTAAGTTATTCAAATAGTCCAAATCACGTCCGATTTAATTTCATTACTTTAAATGTGTTGTCAACTAATTATTTCAAATGTCATGTAAATTAAAACAAATCAGTGTAATTAAGCCTGAGGATGACTTGGCCGGGCTAGAGTAACGATGTAAAATCCATTAATTGGTGTGCAAAAGAAAATCTGGGAGTAATATTTGTTGGGAAAAATATTATAGATTTTGATGATGATGTATTTAGATTGTAATAAGGACTTTAGGTCTCCCCCAATATTCAATGTAATTTTTCTTTTTAGAAATATTGTTAAAACCGAGTTATTGATATTTCCAATAAAGTTGTGATATTTCACTCTGTGGTTTGATGTCAATGTTTGAAGACTTAATCAAATTCAGTGATATGGAAATTGGATATCTTGATGTAAGGAATCCTCAAGGCAGTTGATTACCTTGAAGATCCTCAAATCCGGAACACTACATGATAACCGGATGTCTCGCTACAACCCGCTGAAAGCTAAGTCATGCAGATTGGAAGACTAGCGCGGATCTCTTTCTCACCCGGAAGTCTATAAACAACTTTTCTGGATTCGTCAGCAAAGAACCAGATGCCTCAAGAAAGACCGGAATTTTCAAAAGCGGACAAGTGAGAAAAAGACTTAGAAAAATTCTAAGTCCTGAATGAAGAAATTCTACCCGTTGGTAAGGAAAAATCAATCTCTTGATTTTCAACGGCTAGATTGAAGATAATTAAGCTGATTCAAGAACAAATGACTTGAAGACAAAGTCTGGACCTCTCAAATTGAAGAGCTCGCCCAGAATTCCTAAACAAGCACTAGAAGACAAACTGAGTACTCCACTCATTAAAGAGCTACAGTCCAGAATTCTTGAACAACAGCTAGAAGACGGATTTTGTGGAAAAAGGAATCCCTCCTCAAACAATTGGGTATGTCCAAACACCCATTCCAATGAGGAATCCTTAATCACAATCTTCATTCAAAATTGAAGCCAGCAAATGCAACGGATAGTCTATTTTGATTCAACGGATAGATTACCCAATCCAGCTATAAATAGCATCCTTAGAAGACTGGAGAAGAAAGGAGATACAAGAGAACTGATCCATCATCAACCTAACTACAACAAAGCTATCTCATTCACAGTTAGCCAAAAAGCTTGATAAAGAGAGATCTTTAAACTTCTTATCCAGAAGCAAACTTCTCCTCCTTCCAAAGAGCTATAGTGTAAACACTTGAAGGTTTCCTTGCCTCAAGTACCACACCACGTTGAAGGATACAACTTTTAATCAAACTTCTTGATTAAAAGGGGGTACATCAACTTTCGTACAAGTTGATCTTGCAAGTCATATTGTTCGGATCTTGCAGTTATTGAAGAAGCGTGACCTTTGAAGGAACAACAAAGCCAGCACGAGTACCGTAGCAATATTGGCCTTGCGAAGATATACCGTGCAGAAATTCACACAAGTGTAATTGTTGGTTCATTATTCAACAACCAACTACATAGTGGATTCTGAGGACGTAGAAGGATTACCCCACCTTCGAACCTTGTTAAAGTTTGCGTGTCTCTCTCTTTTATCTTTACTTATACTTGCAATTATATTAACTGTGAAAACTAACCCGTCCATATTGATTACTGCTCAATAACCCACCAACTTTCGCACACAATCTAAGGTTCACAAGAACTCTAGATTAAACACTCATTTTCACGTTTTCAAAAAGAAACACAAAAGTTTTTAATTTGTATTTAAGTCTATTCGCCCCCCCCCCTCTAGACTTTGAATCTCACCACTTTGGGACCACCAATATTGTATAATAAGCCGAATCTAGGAGTATTGGTGTAAATATTTCCTACTTTTTTAATTATTTTTTTTAGAAAACTGGTTTTGTTTGGGTGTTTTTTTTCGAAAAACAATGCAATAGTATGTAGAGTGCGTTTTTTATATGATTTCTTAATTCTATCGAAGTGAAACACCCAAAACCTATTCAAAACAAGGATTGGTTGTATTTTTTTAATTATTCGTTTGGGATTCCATTTATTCATAGTCATACTTCTCACAACCAAGAGATAAATGATTATATTCATCAGACAAGCTTAATTACAAAACATTTGCAATAATGATATAACTTACAGAAAGTGACACAATCATATCCAATATGAGTTAAAAGTAACAATCAAACAAAGGTAATTCTTAAGGCAATCTTTACTCAGCAAATTTAAGATTTGACAAATATGATAAACTTTTTTAGGTATGTATTTTCAAACGAGTATGAATTAAGCTGCATATCATTGAAACTATGTTTGTAAATAAAAGAATGTTCCCTATGATGTTTGGAAAACAAATACTTTACATTTAATTAACTATAACTTCGTAATGATTTGGACTAATGGACTAAAAATGTGTTACCTTCCTTCCTAGAGGGAAGAACATCATAGGACTTCAAAAAAAATCTCATCTCTCTCAGTCGCATGCAAGATCGGGTAGAAGAACAGGTGTACATCTGGGAGTGAGAATGAGGATGGAGAGAGGGGTTATAGATTTTGGACTAGTAAACAAGAAAACTGCTCCTGGTTGTTAGACAAGGCGTGCAACTCTAGAGGGGGGTGAATAGAGTTGTTGAGAATGTTTACCGATTTTCGCAGGATTAATAATATAAACGTAAGTGCAGCGAAAATAAAATAGAGAAGGCAAAGAACACACCGATGTATACTGGTTCACCACCTCGTGGCTAGTCTAGTTCCCCGAGAAACTCTCTCGAAGCTACCACTACTTCCGTTAAGCTTACGGGTGCTTAACAAACCGTTTACAACTCGAGAACTTGAATCCCACAAGCCTCGACACAACCGCTCGTAGATATGCCCTCTACAAGACTTCACAACCAAGACTTAAATCACATAAGCCTTGAACAACAAGAAGAACAATCTTCTTCAACCTCTCAACAATAGCTCTCAAAAGAGTAGATAAGAGAAATGATTAAAGTTCTAATGGATGACAAAATACTCTCTTAAAAACAAATAGTTTTCTCTTAAAATATATCAATTTGAGGAAGAAATGAATGGAGGATTATAACCTCAAGATATGGGAGTTTAGGAGTGCTTGTTCTTAAGAAAAATGACCAAGGAAGAGTGTTTAAATAGGAGGTGAAGAAATATATCCGTTGGTCCAAGAA